TACTACTTTGTACTCTCTTTGAAAAATAGAAAAAAAATAGCCGTCAATTCCCCAAAGTCAGTTCCACTTCTCTAGCATGGTTCCTGGACATCTTGTGCTTGTAGAAGTATTGTATCTCTTAGTTGCCCACTTAACTTCTATTTTTTACTGCTAGCAAAGTTTTTTAGAGTTACAGTTTAAAAACAAAAGGATCCTAACAATGCATGATATAGTCAGTCTGACCTTCCTCTTACAAATTCCCACAGCTCTGTAATGAAATCTCTTTGAAGTCTTGCATAGGTTTCATTTAAACTGTACTCTTGTAATGGATACAATTTCTTTTAGATCATGAGGATGGAAACTTAACTTCCAAGTGAGGTAAAATGCTCCATTGGGTTGTGAGCCCCTGCCAGGAAGGCGCATGCTTTCTATGACAGTATCCTTGCTGCTTATCACCAGGTCTGATACATGGGGCATTCTAGAAATAAGGGATCTTCATGGCCTGCTACCCAAATCATATCCTAGATTCCTACCTCCCTAGTTTTCCTTGAGAAGTTAAATTTATAGTGAATGACAGAAAAAAAAAATAGACAAGCAACCAGCAAATACAATGTATGGCTTTGTGACAAAAATGAGTAGATCTTGGTCAGGTTTGAGGATAAAGCAGACCTTACCTCCACAGCATCCTCTAATCTTAATCTTAGGACCATAGCACTCAGGCATGGATGTGAGTAGAGGGACAAATAGAAGAGGAAATGTAGCTATCTTACGAGGTGTTTTGGGAGTATTTTCCAGTCAACTTCTGGAGTAGAAGGGGAAAGGTCACAAAGGTGGCCACCACCTCTAGCAGTAACACCTCCCTGGGTCTGGAAGAGGAAAAAAAGGGAAATGCTGAATGCATTTTCTGTAGCTAACTGTGAAAGCAGGAAAACCCTGCTTTCTAGTAGAAAGTAGTTCTACAGAGGTCCTGATTTATCATGACTAGAAAAGCCTCCTTTTTCACGACAGGGCTAACAAGAGGACCAGGGAAATAGGATCAAAGATGGTAGCATTCTCTTTCCCATGGTGAGTACTTAGTACATGTTTCTTAAAAGAATGAGTGAAGCCAGGCAGTGTTGCTAGGGAGTTGTTACTATGGAAAATGCCATTTGCATGCAAATTTTACATTATTAGCAACTAAGAGCCTCTAGCAAGGAGGCTGATGGAGAGACCAATATGTTGCTTTTCTGAGTAAGATCTAGATGGGGAAAAGTCATTGGTTCTAGAGAAGACAGAAAAGGTTGCCTTTAGTAACGTTGTTTCAAACTATCATATCACGTAGGTAAATTTTGGAGGTACTACAGGAATGGAAATGAATTTCATGTGAAGGTTTAAAATATTCAATAATCTTTTCACTTCTCCAGTACAACTTCCTATTTTCCGCAAATGGACAAAGTAAAATATAGGCCTTAGATCCTATGAGATGCCAATTTGAGCCACAGCTAGTTGTGATGTTTGATTCCCATGTTTTGAAAGCTAGTAGAAACTAGAAACAAATCAAGAGAAAAATGTGAATTATTGAAAAGTCAGATCTGAGTGTAGGTGATGCAAACTTGTAATCCTAGCAATCTGGGAGGCTGAGACAAGAGGATCATAAGTTCATGCCTAATTATGAGACTATATATATCATAATACAGTTATATGTCATAATATAGTTATACTCTATGCTGTAGCACAGAGTAAAAACTCTGGGTTTAATTCTTCTAGGACCAAGAGAATTAAAAAAAAAAAGCTAAGAAGTCCTGAGAGTCCATTTTATGTGACTATGACAAAATACCTGTGGTTGGGTATATTATAATATTAGCTCATAATGATGGAAGTTTAAGGCCTCTGTCCAGTTCTGGTGAGGTCCTCTTGGTAGGTGGCATCAGAAGGGTGGAAGCACGTGCTTACCAGATGACCTGTCACAGATGAGCTGTGAGTGGTTCACATAGAGTTGGGCTCCATGGAGGTGCCAGGGTGCACTACAAAAATCCAGCCCCATAGGGCCTTCATTAATCTTTTTGAAGGGTGTCGCTCCATGGCTTGCTGCTTTTTAATAGGCTCTGACTCTTGTTCTTTCATTCCAACTCTGTGATTCTGGAGACCAAGGCTCCAGCACAACAACTTCCAAATCATAGCAGTGTGACAGCTGCACCAAGATGCATCTAGCATAGGGAGGACTTTCTGATGGAAGCCAGAACACCAGAAAAATTTATCTCTATTTCCTTGGTCCAGAGAAGAGTGCTTTTGAGGGGATAAGAAGTATTTTCTGAGTGAATGTCAAATCATAGAATTGCTGCTTTTGAAGATCTGATGACCGGCACAGATTGCTTTGCAGTTTATATGTTTAGCGTTACCGAAAACTTACCAGATGACCTGTCACATCCTTTAATTGTATCAGTTATCCAAATTGGTGGATTGTTTCCTCCAAAGGATTTTTAAAGAATAGGCAATCTCACCTTTGCAGCACACATGTGCACTTATGCTCTGGTTTTCCTCCACAAACATTTAGACTTTCACTTTTATTGGAAAATTGTTGCCATTGTTTCCTTTCTACAGCACCATTATTTATTCAAATCCCTGAGGTTGTGTGACTCAGGTCCTTCTGATACACATCACCGCAAGTTATACATGTGCTGTGAGGAGGGGAAAATGAACCTCTAAGCGGCAGTCAAATTGGTTTCCTAAATGATGCTGCACGTTTTAACTGGAATGTGTGTAGTATTCTAGTGGAAAAAAGGTGGGGGTGGGGGGTAAAAGGAAGGTTTCCTTTGGTTTTCAGGCTGTTAACTGTAATTAGCCTGGTTTCTGAGATGTAATTATCTTGCAGTCTCAAAGCAAACACCCTGGAGGAAATTGCACTGTTAAAGACAGCATGGCATTAAAAATAAATTATTACCCTGGTGTCTGCTATGGCTGCTTATGCTTTGCAATTTGTCAGGGTTTCCGTTAGGAAGCACTTGTTTAGGGCTGAAGCTGTGCAGCCATGTTGTCACTATACCACAGGGAAGGGAGACTGGGTTTGCTTCATTGTAATAATGATGCGAAAATTTAGCACCATGGTGGTGAAGGCTGTGTTGTATCCTCTACTTTCCTTGCCCATTCCTGGCTCTGGGAATCAGGAAGAGTGAACATGGTAGGTTGTGAGTCCTTTTTGGTGCAGACAAGGATGAATGACTAGAGTCAAGCATCATAATCTAAAGCTCAGGCAATTCAGACTTTCCACAGAGAAAAATTCAAATTGCTTGGAAATAACTGAGAGGAAAGAGGAAATTCTGAATTATTTTAGGAACAAACACACATGAATTATTGTCAGTGGCTAGTCACAGAGAAAGATCATGGGGATTGGAAGCAGAGATATGGTGGTTTGAACATATAATTGTGCAGGTTCTATGCTCTACAAAAGCTTCCCACAGAGGACACAAGCAGAGGCTGACGTCCGTGACTATGCCTTGATCAAGGTGTGCCCACAGGGCTGTGTTCACCTTGAGGAAGGGCAAATTTTTCTAATTTGTTCACTCTATAGGAATGCTTTAATCAAATGTATCTGTCCAGAATATTTTACACAGTACCACACAGGCCACTATTTGTGGTCTGTGTGACCTTGCTTGAATTGCTAATTCTGAGATGCAACTTTCACATATATCAAAAGGCTTATAATCATAACAACATTAATAATTCCCAGGACAATCTAGGGAACTCAAAACTGAATCTGAAAGTGTGTGCTCAATTGATACCAGCATTAATGATAATGATAATTATGGCCAGGATAACCACCATTATCAACTATTCACCTGGATTTGAGCCTGCATAAAACACACAGACAACTATAGAGACCCAAGGTAGGCATGAAAACGTGGTTCCCTCTCTTGCAGAGCTGCAGACTTGATTGGAGAGACAGTAATAGGTGATTCCTGGTTCAAAAAAAAAATAAGGATTTCTTTGTATAAAAAGGAAATTTTAAACTTTCTACATTTTATTCTTTAATAATTAAATCAAGTATCCTTTGGAGCAGTGGTGGTTAAATCACTCTTAAGGACCAGCAAGATAGCTCAGCAGACTAAGCACCTGCTTAGGCAAGCACAGGGACTGGGGTTTGAGCCTCTGCATGACATACTACACCAGCCCCGCCCCTTGGTGCACTGAGCCAGCCACCAACACAGGGCATGGTGGCATGTGCCTGTAATCCCAGAGCTGAGGAGGCTGAAAACAAGAGGATCACTATGAGTCCAAGCTGCATAGTAAGACCCTGTACCAAATACATTTTAAAAAAGTAGCTATGGTGATTTCTATTTATGAAGTTACCATAATTCCTCTGAAAAGTGTCAAAACAAAATAAAAGAAACAAACCAAAAACAAATGATAAGTTTGAGTTTCAAATAAGATGAAACAAATATCATTGGAAAAGAATTGCAGAAAGCTTGAAAAAGAATGACGTGAGAATCACAGCTTGAAGAAGCCAAAAGCTAGAATACACGCACTCACATACTGTGACTGAGGAAAGGTTGTCAATGTTAATCAGATGGCTCAGTTTACTCCATGAAGAACAGGAGTTGAGGCACTGAGTATTAGATTCCTTCCCTTATATAATCTCTCAAGGGCTCTATATTCAGTGAAAAAGTATCTGAAAATATCCATTCATTGGCAAAAAGCAAAGCAAAGCAAAATTAACCAACCAACCAATCAAAAACTAAAATATTACATAAGGATGCTTAGGTGGAGCAGTGGATGCCTAGGGGAAGCACATCTTAGGAGAATTCATAAGCACAATTCCTTTATTCTTCCTTCAATGACCAAAGAAATTCAAGCAAAGAAGCTAGCATAGAATTGGTCCTAGACTGGTAAGCCTATGTAGCAGTTACAGAAGGACATGTCTTTTTTTGTTGTTGTTCTTGTACTTAGTTTCCATTTATTCAAAGAATAAATAAAACTTGAAATTGCTTTACTAACTATAGTTTTACAAATTATGGTAGACTGGGGCTATGGGTTTAGCTCAGGCTGTAGAATGCTTATATGAGGCGCTGGGATCAACCCCCAGGACCACGAAGAAAAAAACCAAAAAAACAGAAATTACAATAGTCTTATTTTCAAAGTCCAACTTCACAGTGAAGATATGAAATTTCTGAAGTCCACCTTTGAATCCTTTTGGGATTCACTCTGACTAAGCAACATTTTCAGCTGTGAGAAGTGGTTCCTTCTTTTCTTTCCACTCTTTGAGCAGCAAATGGGTGTTGACTGGCCAGATGTGGGTGTTCTGAAAATCAATGCTGGGCTCTTGCCTTTAGAGCCAGATATACCACGATTTACATTTATGGAATTTGAAGTCTTCTTTTCTGGTATCTTCAGGCTGAGTTTACTTGCAGGAGTGACAGGAATGTTCTTCATTGCTGACAGAAAGCTTCTACTTTTACCAGGATATTTAACTGTTCTGTTGCAAGTTTTACAAGTAATCAACAATACATTTTTGGAGTCTCTGTACTTTTTTCACAATTTTTGCATCTTTAAAACTGAGAGTATGATTTCTAGCTTCATGATTAAGAAGTTTCTCTGGGTGTCAATTTGGCCTTGGGTTTGAGGTGCACTCGAGAGTTACCTAGTACCAACAACTGGAAACAATACGGACATGCTTCTTCAAAAGCGCTGTTGTCATCTCTAGGTCTTGTTTTTAAATGAAGCGCAGATCCACCCGCCTTCTCCTTCAGATTATTCCGAGGGCCGCACTAAATTGAGGAGAGAAAGGAGAGAAGCCGAAGTGCTGCGGCCGGGCGTTCTCTCCACCGTGCGCCGCAGAGTAGGCCCAGAGGGGATAGCGGGCTTAGCCCGGGCAGCTGTCCTATAAACTTCGCGCCGCGGCCTCCAGGTAGTGCTTCTGCCTCATCGCCGCTGCCTGCGCTTCTCCACCGAGGAGACTCCACGGCAGCGTCGCAGCCCGCGCCGGCAGCGCTTCCTCCCGGAAATAGACCCCGACCACCCGGAGGTTCCGGCACCGCGCTTCCGGTTGCGCGCGCGCGCTTCCGGGGGAGGGGGGCGGTGCTCACCTCACTGGGGGCGTGGCTCCTGTCCCAGGACATGTCTTAAGTCTAGCTTGCACAGGATTCCTGCAATAAAAGCCCTGCCAAACCCGAGGTCACAATCCACAATTGTAGCATATATAAAGAACCAATCTAACACAAGCAAGAGTCAGTAGAACTATAAAAGAATTAAGTCTCCAAATCTTCAGAATTATTGAACATTGGAAAGATACAAAAAAAGATTAGAAAATACGATACAAATATAGCCTATAAAGTTATCACCCAGATGAAAAATAAGCAAGTGAACCGAAAGTTTTATGAAAGTATGAAAGCAAGATTAAGAGATATGGGAACAGAATGAGAAGGCCAGAGACATATAAAACAGGGATTTTGTGTGGATATAACAGAAAGAATTTGGTGAAAATAATAATGTCTTGAGACATTAGTATGTGATGCCTCAAAAATTTTTTCAAAATGTTAAAAAACACCAATCCTCAGATTTAGCAGATATAGTACATTTAAAACAAAAGCAAATTCCACCTCTTGATTAAACTCAGAAACCTCAAAGACAAAGTAAAAGCTACAAAAGCAACCAGAGAGCAAATAAAAGTTATAAATGAAGGAAGGAAATATAAACTTCACCACAAGAGTCACAGAAATCAGAAGTAGGAACAGCTGCTACAACATGGTAAAAGAAAGTAATTGTAAACCTGAATTTTACATCTAGCTATACTATAATTCTATAATGAAGGTGAATGTCTTTACAGACATTTTCAGATAAAAACAGTGTACAGCATTTACTGCTAAGAAACTTTTGCTAAAGGAGTTTCTGGAATGGAAGTGTTAGGCCCTGACCACACACTGAAATTGTCAGAGGAGATTTAGAAAATTCTGTTATCCTTGGAGATCTACGTCTACTTGTTCTCAGGTAGGTATGGACTGGGTACTGGGATTTTAGAAGTATATCTAGGTATACAAATTTGAGAATCACTGGAATTAAAAAAATCCACTTATGAAGATTCAAACTGAACCTAAGAAAGAATAATGAAAAAAATGATTAAATATGGATATAAATTTAAATATTCATTGACTGAATAAATAGAAAATAATATTGAGTAAGAGCCTATAAAAGCAAAAGAGAGCTAAATCACTGGGCCAAAATAAGTAGGTAGGGGAGGAGTTACTGGAAATTCAAGGCCTTTCAAATCCTTTTATTACTCACAAGGAGGGGAGCTATATTAACTTTATTAAGTAACTATATTAAAAATTTATGGGTAATGCTAAAAGAGTAGAATTTAATGTGTAATTTCTAAACTGGAAGAGCTGTGAATGTGGCAGGAATCTGGAGGAATACAGAATGGAAGGAAGTCTTTCATACATTTTTCACTTGTTTAGAGGTACTGTGATAAGTACCATAGAGTGGAGGAAGTGGAAATAGGAGAACGAGGGGTAGTTTGGAGATGCTACTTATCAAGGCTGATGTGACCTAGAGACTAATTTGCTAAGCAAATGTAGGTAGGAGGAGTGCAACATACCTTAAATATAGTATCTCAAAGTGTTTAGCCACTGTGACAAGAAAATGAGGATGAGAAGTTCATAAGTCAAATGGTTGGGTGGATTTGAGGGAGACACATTTAGGTGGCAAAGCCTGGCAGCTGTTCAGGGCCCTAGGGGAAAGTGGCTCTGGAAGATGTAGAATAGTCAAATGCACCCATCTAAAAAGATGACAGAGATGTCAGAGGGAGGGCAGAAGACTGAGTGTAAGTATACACGATCAGGGAAAACTGGAAGGAGGTTATATTATAGAAGAAAAGAGATACTAACTCTGGTGCATATAAAGGGAATTGTTTTCATTGAAATTGTATGCAAGGCAAAACTTTAAGATGCCAAAATAGGGGCTGGGCAGATAGTTCAGTGGCGTAAACACCTGCCTGACAAGAACAAGGTCCTGAGTTCAATCCCTGGCACAAAAAACAAACAAACAAACAGAAATATACATAAACACCTGCCTGGCAAATGCAAGGTCTCAAGTTCAATCCTTGGTACTGCAAAATAAATAAATAAAAATAAAAGCCAAAATAGCAAACATGTAAGAGTTTGTTTATATCACTGCTTGTCTTTTATTCATGGATGTGAGATTGGTTAAGATGTCACCACTTATACTATTCTATTTTTAAGTAAAAAGAGAGGCTCAGATTTTTTTAAAGGAAAAAAAAAAACATAGCAGCAGGGGCAGAGCACCTATGTTTTTGTTCTTTACCTTAAACTTCATATCACTTTGCCCAGCCTCAGTGCCATGGAAGACTTAGTATAGATGAAAACTGGCTGGAATTCTTTGATATTTCTCTCAGCAAGAAATGAGGTCCTTGAATCTGAGCTGGTTTGTAACATCCTTGATTAAATGAGTGTGAATATGAGACACTATGCCAGGGATGGTCCTGAAGTTTAAGAAGATTGGAAGCTTCTATCTTGGTCTCTTGGAGCCCCGAGTCACCATGTAGGGAATGTAGTGATTTTCCTGAGGTCACTATGCTGTGAGAAGACCAAGCTGTGTACAGGGGATGTGGAGGCTGCAACTCTGTAGAGGAGAGAACAGAAAATGCAGACATACCAGACAGATAAGTAAGAAGCTATCTTGGAAAAGGAGCTTTCTCCTCCAGATGCCACAGCTAAGAATATGTCAGTCAGAGATTAATTCCTCAGCGGAGTTCTTATCCACATCACCCAGTAAAAACTAAATAAGAACCATGTTTTAAGCCACTCCATCTTAGAATAATTTCCTCGACAACAACAGATAATCAGAACAAGTTTCTTTCAAGAGCTTGTCACTTTTGGAAACTGGAGCCTACTGCCAGGACCTCCAATTCCCTACTTGATTTCTGTGGTTTTTCTCTAATATTGTTTCATTGTCTTTTCATTCTTCAAGTGTTTATAAAAACAGCTCAAAACATTTCCATATGGTTTTGCTTTTGACTTAGTCTATTAGAATGTCTTACATTCTGATCTGTTCTTTCAATGTTGAATTATGAAAAGAGTAGTCTTCATTCATTCAGCCACCTATTCATTCCTTGACTACTTACTCTGTGTCTTTTGAGTTTTGGTGATCAATAGCCAACCAAAGCGACATGGCTCTTGCTCTTCTGGATCTTATAGTATGATGAAGAGGTAGAAATTTATAAAGTAGTAATATGAATGATTATGTAATTATAGTTAAAGTAAATTGACAAAACAAAAGAGCATGATTATATAAAGAGCATATACTGAGAGTATTGAGGCAGACGGAAATCCCAAATCAACGTGTTGACAGGGTTAGTTCCTCTTTGGAGGCTTATGTGGTAAGTCAGAATCAGACCTTGGTTAGCTTCTGTTGCTGGCAGTCCTTGGTTTCCTTTAGTTTGTAGTTGTGTAACTGTAATCTCTGTCTCTATTACTCCATGACATCTTCCCTATCTCTGTGTTCAGGTTGTGGCTCAAGTACTTTCTTTTGCTGACACAATACCTGTGTTATGGTTTGTGTATAGATATCCCCACAAAGCCTTGTGTAGTCATGAAGCAAATTCTGGAGTGTGTGATTGATTATTGTGGGTGTGGATGCTGCACCTGCCTTGGGGCAGGTAATTTGCATTACAACGTAAGGAGGGATGAGAGGCTAACTAGCTGCCTGAGCTATTGCCACTCCCTTTGCTCTCTGCTCTTTGGCCCCACAAAAGTTTGCTTTCTGCCACATACCGCTCTGCCTTGGAGCCAGCTGAGTATGGATTGAAACCTCCAGTAACTGTGAGCTAAATAAATCTTTCTTCCTTCAGTTTGAGTGTCAAATATTTGTCCCAGTAATGAGAGAAGAGTAACTGAGACAACCTTACATTCACAATTTAGAGGAGGAGAGGTGTGGCAGAAGTACATAGCAAAGAAGTTAGCTCATAACAATGTCCCAGGAAGGGGAGAGAGAGAGAGAGAGAGAGAGAGAGAGAGAGAGAGAGAGAGAGAGAGAGAGAGAGCATAAACACTCCTGGCCACACCCCAGTATCCCATCTTTTCTGACCAGACCCCACCTCCTAACAACAAATCAGCTGTAAACTCATCAGTTGGCTAATCCATTGATGATTATCTTGCTTCCAGGATCTAATAACTGCCCAAAGGCCCACCAGTGATCCCATGAGGCTTGGAGGAGTATCTAGATATAAAACATAACATATGGTTTCTTCCTCTTTGTATCTGTTTCTGTGTCTCTTCTAATCTTCTAAGAATACTCTCACAGTGGACTTAGGTCCCACTTTATTACAAGATAATTTCATATTAATTAATTATATTTACAATGATTTTATTGCCAAAGAAGGTCATATTTTATGGTACCAGGAATGACATGTGTTTTGGGGAAGGGAACATTATTTATCCCAGTACTACACACATCAGAAAACTCTGATGTCTCTTCTTGAAAACTGTTTTCAGATTTTGGCTACTTCTCTGACTACT